AAGGCTGGCAAATTGTTTGCAAAGTGTTGGACACTTTGCTTAAAGATTTCACTGGCAGTTTAAGAGCCACGAGCTCAACTGAAAGTGACAAACTCGCACGTCCTGCCAATGTTGACATTGACACAGATGCAGCCAGCTGCAGGACGAGGGCCGCAGGACGCAGGACGTGGGCTACAGCTGCACAGCTGCAGTAGAGATCCAATGAAGTTGCTGGCATTGAATGCATGTCAGAAGCAACGGGCGGCAGACAGCATAAAACTTTCACAAAGCGGAAGTTTATTAAAACAGCAGCTCAGGGTAAAAGAAAACGGTGGAAAGGAAAAAAAAGAGGAAGAAGAAGCAAGCTCATGCATGACAAATAAGCTGGCAGGCGAGAAGACTGAGAGAGTCAGAGATACTCAGCACAAGGCAATTAAGTAGCTCTAAATGCAGATAGAAAGATCAGATGATGACAAATTTAAGTAGAACTAGACTATCAGAGCTCAGATGAGCGAATGTTTAGACAGTGTATATGTAGTAATTTAGATATGAAATCTTATTTGTAAATTATTGCTGCCATCCCATTTAGCCCTCTTCTCACATAGATTAAATCTTGATTTCCACATAACTCCGAAAATGATGGTCATATGCAAGAAAATATTTGTTATGATCGTTTAAAGGCGTATCAGCTGCTTATATACTAAATTTCATATACCTCGCTACCATAAATCCTGAGATCGATGAGATCAGTTAAGACTATATTATATATGGGCGCAAGAAGATTTAGATAGAAATGATGAAAACTATAGCAAATGTACAATCAAATATAATTTGTATGATTTTCTCTGTCTGCCTTGTCTTATCAGCTTCGATATACCCTTTCTATGGGGAGAATTCCTAGGGTATTCAAATGCGCATTACAATGAATGAAAAGGTGGTCACACTGTGAGTAAACTAACTGAGTAAGAATCCAGCAGTCACTGTATTTTTTGCATGAAATGCAAATACATACAATGCACACATACATAAACACACACACACACACCGTAAGCAGATACGAAACACTCCATTATGTATGGACCAGACGGGGGCAGAGATACAATTTTGTATTTTGTTGTGCAATTGAGCGAGCAACTGCAGCAGGAAACTGTGTGGAAAAGTATCGCAAGCAGCAGACAGCCAGGAGGCACTCAATGAGCAATGCATCGAGCGACAGCGTTGTCCTTGCCATCAAATGCCATTTGCATTCTGCTGCAGTAGCTGAGCCAACTGATAAAGCCGTGTTGCAGCCACGTACCACGACGCATGCTGGGGGCTGCCGCTGCTGCTACTCGACTGGGCTGGGACTCGGCTAAATTCCTATAAAATAAATCGTTGACGTATGGCAGCTGCATGCTGCCTGCAGAATCCAATTTCAGTGTCCTGGATTTTTATTAAAGCAACAATTTATAATATATACTTGAACAGAGAGAAAGAGTAACAGAGATAGAGAGAGAGAGAGGGAGAGAGGGAGAGTCAGCTAGGCAGCATCTTATCTAATCCAAAGACTCCTGTGCCATGCCGGTTCCAGTCTCCCGCCATTGCACAAAGGGCTGCACTTTCAATGTGCTGCATCGGCAGCCATTTGTTTGCCTTTTGTGCTGTGCATTTGATTAACTGGCTGAAAGCTAAGGCAAGCTGAAGGTCAAATGCGAGCTGCTTAGCGCATAAATATTCGAATTCCCTTCGGGCAGGGGGAAGGGGGCCAGCTTGCTAATGCTCAATCATAAAAGACGAGACAAGAGCGTAATATATAATCCACGTATAGATGGCATAGCAATTCGCAAATTATTTTCAAGCTGGCATTAAATAAACTGACAAACGCAGGAAACAGCCGGCAAAAAAAAAAAAGGACCCAGGAAAATATAAATAAATAAAAACCAAAAAACAAGCAGCGTCCCCTGACTGTTGACTCCAACGGGGCTTCGACTGGGTTCGGCTGTGGGCAGGGGTGGAGCAGGAGCAGGGGCAGACAGTCAGACAGACAGCCGTCCTTGGCCATGTTGTTTTAGCTGCTGCTGATATTGCTGTTACATATTTGTTGTTGGTTTGCTGCTGCTCCTTCTTCTTCTTCTTCACTTCTATTTATTTTTTTTAAATCGAATCTCATGTCAACTGACTTGTGTACATCATCTATCTGTCTGGCTGTCCATCTGTCTCACTGTCTGGCGTTAAAAAGGGGGGCGCTCTCTATGGGGCGTTCTCATTTTTTTCTATTTTATTTATTTATTTATTTATTTTTTTTTTTTTTCAAGTCTGTCGCTAAACGTATGGCCTATATTCTGCTGTTGCGTAAGCAAACGACAAGTGAAATGAAATGCCAGCTCCTTGATGGCATTTGTCAATAAATTTCATGTGATGGCTATAAATTTGTAGACACACTTGTGGGTGTGAGTGTGTGTGAGGGTGCATTTATGTCTGTGTGTGTGCATTGCTTGTAGTAGAAACATCAACATTTATGGACTTAACCATTCTACATAAAAAAGCATATGTACGTTTAAATAGAAATGCTTAAGCTGAAATAATATCGTACTTCATGATCTGAAGGCAAATGAGTCTGGGAAACAAATTAGATTTAAATCTTAACGTTAAATCGCAACATAAATCAAGTGCTTAACTATTTCTCATGCACATTAATATAATTTTCTACTACTAATGATATATGATACGATCAACTTGTTTATGATTAGATATAATTTCTACGAGCTACCATCTAATAAATATCTATTGCAGTAAATTTAATCTGATCAGATCAATAAATAGCAAAGAATACATGCTACAAAACTACATTATTTAAGAAATATAAAAAACAATAAAAATTAATATAATATATATAATAATATAATATAATTTAAAACGAATATGATTTTTACGATAAAAAAAAAATAGCTAAGGATAGACACAAGAACAGCTTTATCAAAACTATACTCCATTATAAAAAAAAAAATAAAAATAAAAAAAAAAAAAAATAAATAAGTAAATAAATTAATAAATTAATTAATTAATTACAATAAATGTTATATGATTAGATACAACTTTTACGATCAACTACAGCTACATCGAAATTATATTTTATTGTTAAAAAAAATTTTTAGTAGAATAAATTTTATATGATTAGATATAGCTTTTATGATCAAGGAATAGCTAAGAATAGCTACACACACACACACACACAGACACACACATCTACAGCTTTATCGAAACTAAACAGATATCTCTGAAGTTCACACCCCATCATCTACATAAACACAACGCAGTCTCTCACATCTCTGAGCAATTTGTAGATTAAGAACTTCCATATGCCCCACATGTATGAGCGACAATTCGCATATTACGGCCCCAAACTGCCATTTTGGGTAGCGCACTGAATTGGCAATTTTGACTTTAAGTAGACATTGACAAATTAATTTTTGGGCAGATTGTCCTAACAGCAACAACAACAACAACAAAAAAACAAACAAAAAATATGGGAGAAGGGATCTAGGCGTATATTCTGGGGCATCAATTCGACGACAAGGAGTAAATCAAATTTGCGTCGCTTTCGGCCCGGAGGGTTTGTCTGTTGACAGTTGCTGGTTATGCAGTGGATTTCCTGTCGCTCGTCTGCAACGGAAATGAAATGACCCAGTTAAATGATTTATAGCACACACACACACATCTACACACACACACGCACACACTAAAATACATATGCCAAGGCATGCGGCTGACACGCGGTCAGAAAAGGTGCCTCATGTGGCAAGGGGGCTCACGACCCGGCTGAAACTGCCGCTGCAACCCCTCCGCGCACAGCCAGGCCAAATTATGGCTGGTTGTTAAGCGTGTTGAAATTATAATTTCATTAGCTGCAATCAACATAAAAATAACACTTAAGCCAAAGTGCCAAAGCGCTTTCAAGTCGTAAAGCTCGAGCACAAATTAAAAAGAAACAGGGAGGAAAAACAACAACAAAAAGAGAAAAGGTATGAGCAAGCGAGAAAGTGAGAATGTGTAGCTAGAGAGTAATCAAAGACGGAATACCCTTACCTTAAAAAAAAAGAAATGATAGAAGATTCGAAAGTAGTAAAGAAAAGGGGAGGAAAAAGGAAAGGAATAACAAGTAGAGAGCGAAAATAAAATAATGAATTTGAAGAGAGAAGAGAGAAGGTAGAAAAAGTGAAAAAAGATAGAAGAGATAAGGAAATATAGGGAAGAGAGAAGCAAAGTATAGAGAATGGTGTAAAGAGAAGGTTGAAAAGGAAAGAGAGAATGAAGAGAGAAGAGTGAAAGGAGAAGAAAGAATAAGGAAAAGAGTAGAGGGAAGAAAGGAGTGGGCAAAGAAAAGTTAGAAAGGAGAAGACAGAAGACACGAAAATAGACGTGATAATCTACAGGGGCGGTAACAGTAGAGAGAAGAGAGAAAAGAGAAGAGAACAAGGAAGAGGATAGAGGGAATACAGTAGAGGGAAAACAATAGAGAGAGAGAGAAATATGAGAAAAGTACAGAGAAACGATAAGATATAGAGATGAAAGTACAAATAAGGCAGAAATAAGACAACAGAAAGGTATAGAGAAAAGAAAAAACAGAATATAAAGAGACAAAGAAGCACAAAGATAAGCTAGCGTCTCCTATATACACATATGTTATGCATATTATTTTATTATATAGTTCGATTTATATACATGTTTATTTAAATATATATCACGCTTACCCATCAGTGTTACTTCTTTCACCAAATATTCAAAATACCCTTTGCCCTGGTATTCGCAGAGCAAACAAATGCAAAATCAAGTGCGGACACAAAGCGAATGCTCAGCAAATTATAAAGAAGTTTGCCTTTTTTACCTCTGTTCTTTTTTCACTTCGTACTTTGCATTCAAGCAGCAGCAGCAGCAGCACACAACAACAATAACAACAACAACAACACGTACAACAATGACAATTGCAATAACAAACGCAATTACAATTATTTTTCTTTTGCTTGTTGCTTGTTTCATTACAGATTTTAAGCACGCGATGATGCCAGGGGAACAATCAACGTTGTAATGCGACAACAGACAACTGCAACAACAACAATAACAACAGCAACAAAAGCTAAGCCAACGATGCGCGATTTTTAATTGACATTTGTTGAAGTTGAGCAGCGTTTTGTGCAGCAATTAGCCAAAAAAAAAAAAAAAAAACACCGAGGTGAAACAGGTGAAACGTGAAAGTGTAAAAGGGCGTACGTAAGGGGAGAGAGAGCAAAGCGAAAAAATTGAAAAAGCTGATGGCCAAGTGGATATTTAATTAAAAATTCAGCATATTTAGCAGTCAGCGCTGAAAAGTAGGCAACGATTTTTCCATTTTCTTTGGGGCTCTCCCGCTTTTGCCCTGAAACAATGGCCGTGGCGCCGCACCGGAAGTCCATGCGTACGGCAAAGCTGTCAAACCGTTGACAGTTGTCACATGGTCCAGCACGTGACGAACAAGCCAAAGGACGACAGAGAAAGCCGAGAAATAGGCGCCCTGCTGTACGTGAGTGCATGAATGTATAAATAAATGGCAGGCAAATGAATGAAACGTCCAAAACGTTGCCCATATTCGACAAATTTCAGACGCGGCGCTAAACGTTCGCACGTACAGCGCATAAATTTCAAGTGAAATTAAAGGCCGGCCCTCACAGAAGGAGAGAGGGAGAGAGAGAGAGAGAAGAGGGAGAAAACTGGAAAACGAGCATAAAAAGAGAAGGGAAACTAGCGCCAAATAAACGAGGCGGCCTTCTAAGCAACAGCCACGCCCACACTCACAGCCCACCCAGAAAGATGCTGCTCGGGCTGTGGCTCTGCTTGGCCCTGCTGCTGTGCAGCGCCCAGGCATTATCCTTGACGAATGCTGCCGCCGAGCAGGAGGAGCGCAAGCTGTCGCTGGCGCAGCATCTCAGCTTTCAAGGCGTGCGCCGCATGCTGCGCGATGAGCACGCCCCGGCCCACTATAAGGCCGAGCTGCGCTACCAGCACAAGCGCGAGACGCAGCCGCGCGAGAAACGCGAAACGTCAGGGGCTGCGCTGCTGAATCTGACGCGCCAGGGGCTCAGCGTCTACGATAGCCAGCAGAACTTTCAGGGCCAGTTCGAGCTGGTGCATCGCCTCGATCTCAGTCACAATCGGCTGAGCAGCCTGCAGCTGCAGAACTTCACGCAGCTGCAGCAGCTGCACGCCTGCAACAATTCGCTGACGGCGCTGCCCGCTCTCAGCGCGTCGCTGGTCACACTGGATCTCTCGGGCAACAGGCTGAGCCGGCTGTCGGGCAGCTTCTTCGAGCAGCGCATGCCGCAGCTGAAGCAACTGAATCTGGCGCACAATCAGCTCGACGGCGCCATCGATCGCCAGGCATTCTACAATCTAATGGGTCTGGAAACGCTGCTGCTCAGCTGGAACAACATCACGGACATCGACTACGAAACCTTCCTGGCGCTGCCCAATCTGCAGCATCTGGATCTATCGCACAATCGGCTGAGCGGCTCAGCCATACGCGCTCTCCAGGGCATACCCGATCTGGTTAGCCTATCGATTGCCCACAATCCGCAGGTGGGCGCCGCCATGCAGGAGTTCGTCGCCTCCTGGAGCCTCAAGGAGCTGGACGCCAGCGGCACGGGCCTCTGCCAGGTGCCCGCCGCCCTGGCCCAATCCGTGCGCACGCTCAAGCTGTCGCACAACTGGCTGCAGGTAAGCGACGTGTGAACGTAATCAATGAATTAGTGAAACCATCAGGCACCGCCTACTGTCTTCTCCTCTCCTTTTTTTCTTTGTCTCCCTCTCTCTGTCTCTCTCTCTCTCTCTCTCTCTCTCGGTGTGTGTGCACGCAATGAACCGCAATTTTTACGCTTTTGTCGGCAATTAACGGCACATTCGCAGCAGCAACCAACCACCCACCCACCCACACACACACACAGACGCACACAGGCACAGTTATTCTTTAGCCGCGTCTGAGTTGCCCCTCTGCTGCCATTAATTACCATCTGTTTTGCGGTCCTTGCCGACTCAGCTCGACGCGGCGCTCGAGTGGGCCTCTGGCTCGACTCCGATTACCCACGCACGCAGCTATCCACCCGGGCATATGATTTACACTTTGTTATTTTTAAATTTACGCCGCCATTTTGTTGTTGCCACTCGACTCGCACATCCGGCTTACACTTACGGCTCCGGCTCTGGCTCCCCGTTCCGGCAACGGGCCAATGTGCGTCGCATTCCATTTTGTCGCCGAGCTCTAAAATTATTTTCCAGTGCAGAAAAGGAAATTTTACACATAAATATTATTGATTAGAATGTGGAAGCATTTGGCCCTATTTTATGCTGTAATTGATATGTCAGCCATATCTTCAAGTCAAATGATAAGAAATGACGCACTTAGCCCTTGGCTGCAATCCCATGGAGTTTATTTATCAATAAATTTTATCAGAACTTGTTTACGCCTTCTGCTCAAAGGGGAGAATTTATTATATTTTATGAAAGTTATTTTATATCAAATATATTTGGTATCTATATTATAAAATAATTTGCTATAGGTATAATTATACATATGTTGATCATTTTAAATAAATATGTTATGTTTTATATTAAATAATTTTTTGTATGTCTCTTATATGCAAATAATTTAATGCAAAATATATTTATTATCATTTATGTGCAAATTATTTCATATAAAATTTATTTATCATTTTTTTATGTTTTATATAAAGATTATCAAATTATTAAATATAAAATATATTTAATTATTTTTTATGCAATATATTTTGTTTTATTTTTTATAACATGCTTTAGGCAGATTAAAGTCTCTCCTTTGAGCAAGAGTCTTAAGCTACTTTCTACTACTTTCTTAAACTTAGTTTCCTTTATATGTATATGTGTATGTGCGGTAGGTAAAACATGTCTAAAAGCGTTTCAAGACTTCTGCTATTAGTGCCTTTCGTAAGCCCATTAAAATTGTTGTTAACTTTATTCAAGCTGCTTTGCGCTCTGCGCTCTGCACTGCTCTGCCATTTAGACAGCTCTTAGTCGGGCACTTAGTCAGTGCTAGAGCATAATTAAAATCACAATGCGGCCACACACACACACACACACACACAAAGCAAGCGCTAAGTGCACTTCGCACTTTCCACAAATGCCAGCGAAAACAATGCAAAATATAATAAATTAAATAGCCTCGCACTGTCCCTGACTGACGGCCGGACAGACCCGTTAAGCTGGCGATTAGCGCTCACAATGAGTGGCAAACAAAAAGATGGCATTCGGCTGGCAGCTGACTTCAGTCAGAGGGTGGCGCATTTGCAGAAAAGTCAAATGTTAAACAAAAGATTGGCGAACTCTTAAATATCCTAGAAGGAAGTTAAAGTGTTGACTTGTAGGAGATAATAGAAGAATGTTAGGCAATATTGTTTTTGTAAAGTCTTTAAAAGTAGGAATTTTCGGAGCCTAATTTACAATCATCTACGATCATCTCCAAGAATTATTACAAAATGTTTAAATAAACCAATTTCTGCCAAACGTTTGAGCGACAACATTTATCATTGAACTCAGATAATATAAGGAAAGAGGCTCTGATGAACAATGCAGTTTATATAGATATCCTTATTAATACATCATATCTGTTGCCATAGCCTCTTATAGTTAGTAAAATGAGCATAGCGCTCTATATATCGTTATATATATCTTAGAAGAGAATACACATTTATTTATATAAAAGACGTTGCTCTGAAGAGCATAAAAAAAATCACTTGGGAGAACATTTTTGTTTCGCAAAACAGATTTATAATTAGAGTATAGAAAAATATTTAAAAAATTAGTATATAGAAAAATATATATAATAGCTTAGATTCTTCTCTTTTTTGTTTCCTTATATAGGACAGAAATTTCTAAAAATACTAGAGAACCATTAAACATATAAAATATGAAAAACACAAACCTGTTCCTTGAATAGAGTCCTTACTCTGAATAGATTTTACGACAGATTTTGTTTGACAGACTAGTTTAATATATATAATTGAAATAATAAAGAAACAAATGGAAATTATCATAAGCTCAAGCATAAATGAAATATACAGCTCTTTGGCATTATTCCATGCATTTATAAATAATTAGCCAAGTCAGTGAGTCATAGACCTTTTCAAATTGAGCTGACCTGCAGCAGAAATATGAGAAAGTATAACGATAAAATGATTTATGACAAAAACAACTAAATTCAGCCCGTTTTGCATTAGCAGCACAAAGGACGGTCTCAGCCGTTTAGGGGCTTCGTTCGGGTATTAACTAAGCTCTAACAGGCTCGAGTACATATACAAAAACAAATGCGGCTTATAAATTGCTGTTGCTGCTGCTCCTGCTGCTGCTGCTGCTGTTGTCGATTATGGCAAATGCCATAAAAGGTGCAAAAATGCCATTCGTAAGCTGCGAAAGGAAGAAAAAAGTAGAGGCTAAGCAGGCAAAAGGCGCACGCTCGACGCTGGGCATTAATAAAATAAGGATAATTGGCATAAGCATAATCACGTTTAAGCCAACAGCCAGCGAGCAGCTGAGACGCGCCAAGACAGTAGACAGCCCAACTAGTTGCAATTGCTTTGTGCTCCCTTGCAGCGCCACCCTCTCCCACTCACTCACTGCCTCTCTCGCTCTCTTTTGTTGCCTGGCAGCAGGCATTTTAATTTGTCTGCCATTGCCTGCTCCTGCTTCTGCTACTGCTGCTGCTGCTGCTGCTGCCTTTTATCGCTAGTCAACACGCAGCCTTTTCATGGCAAATTATGGCGTTTAGAGACGACGTCTTCCACAGCCAAAGCTTCCGCCCGTCTGCGGCAACTGCGCCCGAAGGGCATCGACAGCAGCAACGGCGACAGCAGGAGTAGGGGCAGCAGCAGCAGCAGGAGCAGGAGTAACGGCTGTTCGGTTGGCCGCCCGTCTGAGCCGTCTGACTGGCTTCGTGGCTGTCGCTTGTTTCATTTAATGAGTCGCGTCTATGTTTACTTTTTGGCCCCAGACGAGGCACTGCTCGGGGCTAAGGCAACACCAGCCAGCCAGTCAGCTAGCAGCTACCAAAAAAGGGGCAAACTGGCATCCGACCAGCCTTTGAAGTAATTATAGCGGCTGATTCAAGTTAATTTTTAAACAATGTCAGCAAGTCACTCGCCTCTCACACTGATCAAATTTCCAAGACTCAACTGTAAGTTCGTTAAAGCTTAGCCTCGCGCAGATTTGTACCTAAAGGACACTCTCGCTGTCCTTTCTTTGAGGGCAAACAAAGAGAATGGAAAGTAAAAAGGAAAACCAAGTGGTTAGCAAAGTGTGTGGAGAGAGAAAATGCAAGAGCTTGCGCTACCTAAATGTTTTTACTAGAAAAACTTGCTTAAAATATTTTTGGAATTTTTTTGAATAAACACTTACCACAGAGAATCAAAGTGCTAACATTAAGAGGAATCTAAAGAAATTTGAGACTTTGTAGAATACCAGAATTATGACGTACACTCGCCAGTACTTCAGCAACTTTTCAACCCTTATCTAATCCTGCATATGCTGAAATATTCATTAATCACTGTTTGATCTCCACCCACTCCACTCTAGTCGTCCAGCCAAATCCCTTCATTGAATTTCCATGACCGCACCTCTAACAAATATAATTAGTGACATTAATTTATTTTATTTACGATTTATGCATTTCACAAAATTCTTTAATTACTTGAGTTAAATTAAATAAACTTTCCACAATAAATACTTCACTTTTGGCACAATTTGTGTCCCACACTCTAGCTTTAATTGAACCAAACCAACTGATGCAAATCTTTTTATATATTCCCTGCTCTTGCATTTCCAGTCCATCAACTGCGGCGACCTGGACAGCTATCCGCTGCTGCAGTACCTGGATCTGTCGTACTCGCACGTGGCACAGCTGGAGGACGATGCACTGGGTCGGCTGGAGCTGCTCGAGCTGCTGTTCCTCGATCACAATAGCCTGATGCATGTGCCGAACAGTCTGCCCACCTCGCTGGAGCATCTGTTTCTGCAGCACAACAGCATCATGGAGCTGCAGCCGCAGGCATTCGCTGGCCTCAAGAATCTGAAGACCCTGGATCTGTCCAATAATCGCTTGATGTTCCTGCCGGCACTGCCACTGCCCCAGCTGCTCACGCTCAATCTGCAGTCGGCGGGCATTGAGTCCGTTAGCCAGGCGATTGTGCACACGCTGCCCCAGCTGCGCGATCTCCTGCTGGAGGACAATCCCGTGCGGTGCAGCGATTTGCTGGGCATTGCCGAATGGGCCAGTCCCTGTCGCAGTGTCGATTTGGGCCGCACCATGGGCCGTATCGATCTGAAGCGACGCTACGTGCAGCTGGCCAACTTTTACGAGAGCTTCAGCCCAGCGTGCGCGGGCGTGGCAAATGAACTGGCCACCAGAGACGAGGAGGCTGTGCAGCAGCTGGCCAAATCAATGCCGCCCACTTGCGGCATAGCAGCGACAACAACAATGCCAGCAACGATGCCAAAAGTGCACAAGTCAAAGGCAGCAGCAACAACAGCAGCAACAGCAGCAGCAACAACAGCAACAGCAGCTCACCCAAATGCAATGCAATCAAGCGGCAACAACATCGCGCTGCTAACCACAAAAACTTTAGGGCCAGCTGAAACGACTTCGTTAGCTCAACTGCAGCGCCAACAAATGCCTGGCATGCCAACAGAAATAATAACAACAACAGCAGCAGCAGCAACAACAGCAGCAACAGCCACAGCCTTTGGCGTGCCAAGTTTGCAGCGCGCTGCCAAACGCACAAGCATTTTGGCAAGCAGCTCACCGACGTCGCCAGCAACAACAACAGCAGCGACAGCAGCAGAGCGAGCGCCGGCCAGACTGGGCAAGCCAACAAAAATTAGCAATGTTGCTGCGGTGCCACAAACAATTTTGGCGCTTATAAGCTCTGACATGGCAAACAAACAAAAACTGGCCAAGAGTGTATTAAAAGAGACAGCAACAGCAGCAACTACAACATCAACATCAGCAACTACAACAACAACCATTGCTCAGGAGGCAAAGCCGATGCATAAACATGCCACGCTGCAGCTGCATATTAAAGATCGTCATCTAATTGGAACGCCGCTGCTGATGCACAAGGGCGACAACCTGCTGATAGATGCGGAGCAATTGCTGCTGCCCGGAACGGCAACTGTGGCGGATGCGGAAACATTGGCTGCCAGCCAGCAGCAGGAAGCGACTGATAAGCGACAAGCGGAAGCAATAAAGGGCGACACAAAGGCGACTGGAGCTCATGCCGAGCAGCAGCAGCAGCAGCAGCAGCATCAGCAGCAGCAGCAGCTGGAGCTGGAGCATGCCAAGCTGAAGAAGAAGCAGAAACCGTCGCTGAGCATCAAGAAGATGACCTACAGCACCAAGCATGCAGCAGCAACAACAACAACAACAACTGAAGCAACAACAGCAACATCCACGCGGCCACAGCATCAACACAGCAGCGTCAACACGCCGAATGCATTTAAACAGGAGCTGAGCACATTCGCCCAGCTGAAGGCGTTTGTAGAGCTCAAGACGGAAGCCTCCAAGTCCGCCCAGCTGCTGGCCACGCGCCTCCACCCACAGCAGAGCCTGAATGGCAGCCATCCCGGCCTGATGCTGCTGCTCGTCTGCATCCTGGTGATTGTCCTGCTCGCCGGCCTCGCGCACGTCTATCGCTGCGAGCTGCCCTGGCAGCGTGGACCGCGCGCCGGACACCAGCGACCGCATCACCAGCGCCAGCTCAATGAGAACGACGATGTGCACAGCTTTCTGCATTATCAGGGCTCCGGCCAGACGGATCCGGCACGTTTGAGCGCCTGGCATCACAGCACCAGGCGCGAGGCGCCCTACAGCTCCCCGCTGCACAATCTGCAGGCACGTGAGCTGCAGCGCGAGCAACAGAAGCTGCAGTTCTACAGCGCTTCTCTAGCGGACAGCTCCGCCAGTGGCAGTGGCAGTGGCAGCGGTTGCTCCTCCGGCAGCAGTCGCAGCAGTCTGCATTCGCCCAGCAACGAGGACAGCTACTACATAGAGATGGCGCCCAGCAGTCCCATGGCTGCGGCCGGCGGCATGCCCCATCTGCCCATGGAGCTGCTGGGCAACAGCAACAGGAGCAGCAGCAGCAGCAGCACACATAGAGCTGCAGCTGCTGCCCCACAGCTGAGCAGTGGCCAGATGTCGACGTCGACGTCAGCGTCAACGCTGCGCTCGATGAGCAGCAAGCTGATGGCGCCCAGCACACGCCGGCTGGGCATCTGGTGACAAACCGTTTTTGGACAGCGACAATACGCAACACTCCAGTGAATCAAGGGCAAATAAACAAACATAAACACACACACCAAACACATATATACAACTATATATATATATATATATAGAAAACATTCTGCATAGTTTTAAGCCACAGCCCGCAGCCCGCAGCTAACGGGCCAAAATGAGTCATAAACCAAAGAGGAAGCAGCAGCATAGAAAAAGATATATACACATACATCTTTATATACATATACTGGGTACATATATTTATTTATATATATATCTATGTACATACATATATATTTATGTTTGCCGAGTCTCGTTTGATATATGGCTCATCGTGGCCACACACGTGGCAGGCATCTTAGTGTCTAGGTTAGCAGCAACAATTTGTCATAAAGTTTCGTTACGTATACGCCGCGTGGAGCGGCCAGCAGCCAAATAGCCAAGAGCAGCCAAATAGCCACCGCCAGCTACATTTTATGGGCCATCAGGCAACACCCACCTCACCAGCCCCAGTCCCTGCCCCCTCACTCCGTCGACCATTCGCAACACGGCCCTCGATTTGATGTCCATCTTGTGGTTGTATTTGGGTCAGTTTACACCAGGGCTAAAGCCCCAAGTTGAGTATCTGTGTGAGCTTAAGTGTGTGTCTGTGTGTGCGTGTGTGTGTGTGTTGGTCAGTTAACTTTATATGTGTGCATAAGTGGCTGTCCGTGGGCCAAGATTAAGTGCTTTGATAGTCATGCATATAAAAATGAAATATATCGATAAAGTATTAAATAACAATTTAGTTTATGGCCAAAAGTCAGCAGCTAAAGGCTCGAGCCGTTCCAATCGGCCATAACGAGCTCCGCCAAAAGGAAAAGTCTCAATTTGCTGGTGCTGTTAATTGTGAGCAGATGTCCAGATCAAGCGGCAATTTCCATAATTTCACCAAGGACATTTTTATGTGCTTTGAATACCCCCATTTGTAATGCGAGGAGGAGCTCGGAAGTAGGGAAGATTCTCCATATGTTCTCTTTAGGTTCTCTTTACAAATTTATACAGATTTTTTTTTGGTTTTTAACATTTTAATATCTTATAGATACTTTCTTCATGTCTGTTGTACTCTTTAATTTTGAAATAATTTTCATGCTTTTCAAATAAATATTTGTGCTACAAGGCAAAAATATTCTTTAAATTCCCACAGCTTTTTTACAGCACCAAACTCGTGTTCATAGATACTTTTTCAATCCCTGAGATACTTAATCATTTTGAGATACTTTTAATATACTCTTACTCTTTTGATATATCATTAACATGATGTAGCATTGAAAACAATGAAACTACTTTTCATAAATATATATTTATATATCTAACAGATACGTGTTTTTACCAGCATAAACTATCAAACTTATAGATATTTTTCATATTTATGAGATGGTTATTTGTACTGTACTGTACTGTAAGTACTCTGAGAGTCACAGTATATTCCATTCGTATATTCTTAAAAGCAAAAAATCTCCTTCAAATTCACAATAAAAATCCTAGTTTATCCTACAGATACTTTTGTACGCACTTTTTGAGATACTTTTCAATATTATTTAAAATATTAATATAATACTAAAAACGAAGTAATTCTTATAAAAACATTAATTACTTTTCTTAAACATTTATAAATCTCACAGATGCTTTTTTATCAAATTGGCAGAAACTTCTCATATATATGAGATATTTATTTATACCACAAGATGCTCTAAAGCAGCAGTTTAAATTTGTACAGTTTCATTCAATAAAACTATTCTTAGTCGTCTCTCAGATACTTTTACTATACCTTCAGATACTTTCATATAAATCTTGGAATTTTGATTTACTTTATATCTAGGAAATAAAATCCTGAAGAGGTGAAGCAAACATTTATTAAACTTTAAGAGACGCAACTCTTCACTCCTTCATGCTGTGGCATTCCTTCGTGCTGGCACTTGAGAACTACTAGCTAAGGCTCTGACTAGTGGAGCATGCGGACTAAGTAATTACAAAATGTTGGCCATCCAAGCGGATGGGGGAAAGTGTAAAACGCATTTGGCTCTCACTCGAAATAAAACTCTTGATAGATTTTCATCTTCAGGCAGCGACGCTCATTGCTAATGGACTTTAAAAGTCAACTGCTTCAGCAGATCTTTAACCCACTTTGAGCAATTTAATTAAAATTTCGACTCGACGTGGCTTGGCTCGTCTGGGCTGGACTTGAGCCTTGAGCAACAAGCACACTTGGTTTAGAAAGAGAACTCCTTTAGGATATATTTGATTTCTGTTTTGTATTGACACCCTTAAGGGCTGACCGGGCAATTGCTTTGTACAACCTCGTGCGGCACCCCATTTACTGTTATTTGGCACTTGTCGATTCAGTCGACAGCCGCCCTCTTAGCCTCAATTTATAAATTGACCAAGAGAGCATATGGTGTAAATCCAGCCAAATGGGCAGACGACTAATCCGCCACAGCAAATGTGAGATGTTGTAAAACTATTTGAAAGATATGTGAAAAATGCCAATGTGCGGAGCAAGAAGCACACACGCCCTGCTCTGGCCTTGCTCTGGCCAGGGCTGGGCCGACATCAAAATAATGTGCTAGCAAATCAAATTACAAGCAACGACTTCATGAGGGCGACTCCGGCACAAGGGGGCGCGGGCTGGGGGTGCAACACAACAATTACATTAAGACACGATAAAAAGTTGTGCAACAATCTTGTGCGAGCCGCAGACGGGGGCGGCAAAAGGGGGAGCGAAAGCCACAGTCATTGCACAGTTTTTCAACTTTTTGTGGCTTTGTAATTGGAATACACAAGAAGAACACAAGAGCCGCAGCAACAGGAAGATAGATAAAGATGCGGATACAAATGTATCTGGGGGCTTGGGCACAGTTTGAGCTACAAGCAGCAGCAGCAGCAGCAACAGCAGCGGCAACGGCTATGGAAGGCGTTCAAGCGTTTCGTCTCAAGCAATTCAGAAGGATTTATTTTTGGCCACAAAAGCGAAATGTGAAGCAAAGCGGGCTAACAACAATTAAAGTAATGCTGACCAACAAACTACGGACAACGGACTCTGGACTCTGGAAACCGGACTCCGGACTCCGGACTCCGGGCTCCGGTTCAGGGGATTAGGGCAAAAATAAGCAAGAATTGCGTTGAACGCACAAAATCTTAATTAAGGAAGTTCCAACTTCCAACTTCCAAGTGGGCAAGTGTCAGGCAGGCGGACAGATGGGCAGACAGACGAACGGACAGACATCCCCTTTTTTATATACGGCAATTTCTGCCAGTAAAGCAGAAAAACTGGACTACAATGAAGGCGGCCCATTGTCAAATTTAATGAAGGTTTTCTCTTGCTTATGACATGCGCAGCTGGCCAAGATTTACTTGCGAAAACTTTTCAGTTTCGTGCGAGCAGAAAATTGTCGCCAGGCAGCAACAACAACTCAAATGAGTTAATTCGATATTTGACACTTTTTGGCTCACATTCCGGGCGCCAGTACAGCACTGCGGAAAGTTAATAAAGAGACGCTGTCCGGCCCATAATTATTTGCCTGCTAAATGGTTGTAGCTGGCCATCAAGTGGGGCAGTGGTAAAGCGATTTGGCCAAGTTAAGTTGCCTTGGCTGTGCGCATAAATAAAGCCGCATAATTGCACATGGCCAGTAATGTAAAACAATCCGGAACAAAACATCAGACAGACAACATGAGCACACAATAATTAAACTTAATTGCGCTGTACATATAAATAAACAAAGAGAAAACCATGAAAAACAAAGGCAAGCAGAAAGAGAGAAACAAAGTTTACAATATTAATATGCATATAAAATATTCTGTGTTTAAATAAATACTAGGATAAAGAGGAAATACAATAAATTAAAAAATTAAAAATATTAAAAAAAAACAAGTAAGAAAACTCTAGTCGAGAGTGCTCGACTAGATACTACCCTGAACCTAACAAATAAAAATGCCCATTTAGTATGTCTGAAATTTCAATTTTGATGTATTTAAATTTTAAAAATATAAATAAAATACCAAACTCATTTAATACAAGTAAGAAAGCTCTAGTCGAGACTACTCGACTACGAGATCCCCTGAACCCTTGGAGTAATAGCTATTTCAATAATTTTTCGCGTCTTTCAGCTTACACAAGAAACACGCACACATACACACACACACGCACGCACACACAGGCATACATACACACACATAATACACACATACACACACACACACATACACAAACAATTACATACATATACACACACAAGCATAAACACGCATGGGCGGCAGTGAGCGATTACTCTGAGAACTTAATTGCTTAATAACTTTTTTGTGGACGTACGATCTTCATGAAACTTTCAGATTATGATTATGACATGGATATGCATATAATTGCTAAAGCACAAGTCTCTAGTTATTGAAATACGCTTTTTACAAAAGTGAGGGTGAGGGGGTGAATTTAAGGGTGGGGGGTAAATTTTAACAAAAACCGAAATTGTATAAATTGCATATAAGCATACATTAAAAATTTGGAGACTCTAGCAATAAAGGTGTAGAAGATATAATTTTATAACTGGTTTTCGATAAGGTTTTTTATCGATAAAAAAAGATCGGGATGAGTTATCGATTTTTAATGATAAACTTGATATGCGCGCTGTAATTACGAACATTTAAAAAAAAATTTGAAGTCTCTAGCTCTTATATCTTCTGAAATCGACGCGTTCATACATACGGACAGACGGACAGACGGACGGACGGACAGACGGACAGACAGACGGACAGGGCCAAATCAACTCAGCTCGTCGCCCTGATCAAGAATATATATACTTTGTGGGGTCTACCACGCCTCCTTCTCCCTGTTACATACATTTCAACAAAACCATTATACCCTGATTTCCCATTGAAAATGGGTTCAGGGTATAAAAAGACAGCGCAGATTTGCATTTAATTTTGCGCATTTTACAAAACCACAACAAATTGATTGCCAAATATTTGATGTAGCCGTAAAAACATATAAATATATAAAACACAATCTATAATACATATACAAATATATATACATATATACAAAAATATATATGTATATGTAAACAGTGAGAAAACATGACAAGAGTTCTAGCTTAGAGCAGTGCAAATACAAAAAAAAAAAAAAAAAAAAAAAAAAAAAAGAATATTAAACAAATAATTCTATTTACACAGTTTCAATATTTATTCAGTTTAGACAAACGCCACGCCCACAACACAACATGGCCACACAACATGGCCAGCCCAGTTCTGTATGCAAAAAAAAAAATCAACATATATGCGTGTGCGTATTTTGTAAATAAGTAGTTGACCGCAGCTAATTATAAACATTATTATTATTATGATTATTATTATTATTGTGTAGTATTAGCTCTTCGAAAATTGAAACGTTTGCCAACACTGGTGCGAGGCGTTCTTAGATCAAATCAAATCAATAACAGTTAATACAATTTAAAAACCCAAAAATAAAAAGCGAAAATTAAGTAAATTATTTCAAGAATTTAAAAACAAAAACAAAATATAAGTATTTAATGTATTATGAAATTAGCTTTAAGTGTGCGAAAATTTGCAGAGAAGTCGAGGCAACAAGAACACTGCATGAGTGCGTGCTTCTCAACACTGGCAATTTTCGAAATGGCCGACAACTGTGAAATGCGAAATAAAAATTGAAAATTATTTAATTTAAAAAAATATATATGAATTTTATTTTATTTAAGGAAAAAGTGTAATGGAATAAATGGATAAAGCTGGGTAGTCAAGCGAAGGTATAGGTTAACAAGTATTGAAAAGCGAATACATTCTTTTGGTTATATTATATTTTTATTACTATTTAACTGGAAGACAACTGTCATGAGCTTATATAACTTAAAGATCTGTAACATCATAACTAGATGATATCTAAGAAATATATTTTTCTCAGCGCAACAGAAAAATCACTCTTAAAAGAAAAAGAAGAATCACTCTTAAAATAAAAGATCTTTTTCCCATTGAAAACAAGGATCTTGTTAAAATGTATGTAACAGGCAGAAGGAGGCACGACAATCCCCATAAGGTATATATACATATATTCTTAATAGGGGCAACGTGCTGAGTCCCTAACCGTCAGTCTCTTCATTCATCCGTCTGTTCATATATAAGAGCTACACACTTGATTTTTCTCCAACTTCTAACTTCGCCCATGACCTACGCTCATTTACTTTAAATTCATTTAAAATGTTTTCTATTTAAAATATTTATATAACATGATCAGTTTGAGATGTCGAAAACTACTTATAGTTTCATAAATTACATGAAACTGCTTAAATGCGCTACTTGAATGTATTTGAAATACGCAAAACGGTTTATTCAAAGTTCTAGCATTCAATTATGTTCAATTGACAGCACAAATTAACATTTTGAGTGGTTCACGGAGAAGCAACAACTGACAAGGAACAAAGATTAGAGCAAATGCACAAGGGCAATAAAAATAAATGTTGAATTAGTGAGGCATGAGACAGTTAGACAAACGAAATGTGCATAAAAGCTAAGCGAAAAGGCCAATAATGGTATAAGCACATATGTGGCCAAATATACATATATATATAGATATGTATATAATCATTGGTTGTCAGGTCAAAAGCAAAACAAGTCGATGAGCAATTTTATTTCAAATCCAATTATTTCGCATCGAACTGCAATCAAATGATTGCGTTCAGCAACAGGAAACACGCAGCGCTGTGTATGTGTTTATGTTATGTGTGTGTGTGTGTGAATTGCTGCGCTCAACAAACGATGCTGTGAAAATTGCCGACAAAATGAAAGTCAATTGGTTTTTTTTTTCTCTGTTCGCCTTCGGCTGGTTCCTTTTGCTGTTGCTCTTGGCTGGGCCACAACACGTCAAGAATATGTGTGTGCGTGTGTGTGTGACTGTGTCTGGTCAGAGCTGTAAGGCATTCAATATTGCAGCATCAACGAACGCGACATTCAATATTATTAAAATTCACATCCATTTACGGCCCGTTGGAGGACAGCAAATGTCAAACAAAATATGCTCAACGGTTGCGCATAAAAAGGTTAATGAGAAAATAACAAACGGAAACAGAGCCGATAAAGAAGAAGGCTAATAAAAATAATATGACACAAGACAAACATAAGAGCTTAGGGGGTTCGAAGTGGACAGAGAAGAAGAGCAAGAATTTGCGTGAAGTAGAGAAATTATTAAGGTATACTGAAAATAAAAATATATATATATGTATATAAATTTTTATTATATTTAATAAAAAATATTTAGCAGAACTGAAAAGGTTAACAATACGAATTTTAAGCTCATTTAAGCCAATTCAATTAGCTTAAAATTGAAAAGAATAAATCTCATTAGGCAACTTTCTCTTTGACTCTTCCACATAAAAAAGGCAAAGGAAATAATTAAAAATCCCCTCTGCTGCT